CCCCGGCTCACCATGCACTGCCACGCCGAGCTGAGGCTGAGCTCGCCCGGCCAGCTCAAAGCAGCCAGGCGGCGCTACAAGACTTTCATGATCGACGAGATCCTGTCCAAGGAGACCTGCGACTACTTTGAGAAACTTTCCCTCTACTCTGTGTGCCCGTCGCTGGTCGTGCGACCCAAGCCCCTGCATTCCTGTACGGGTAAGACGACCCGCTGGGGGATAAGTGGGCTGCGGTAGCTTTCACGCCCGTGTCGGTCGCCTCTGTTTTCCTACCTGAGGGCGAGCGGAAAGGGCCAAGGGATTCTGTCCCTATGCCCCTGCAAGGGGCCTAGACTCGCCAGCCAGCGGTGGGCATTGCAAAGACGTCTGCAGCGCGGCCAGGAAGGGCCAGGCAACGTGTCGATGGCACGGTTGGAGATAAAGGCAGCACGGCCATAGGAACGGGCCGTCCGTGCAATGCCTGATTGTCGCTGGGAGGGGAACGCTTCCTCCTTCCTGGCACCGCTGTGGTTTTCGGTCAGAAAGTTCAAACTTGACCTGGTTCAGCGCCTAAATTGTTTCAGGAAGTGGTCTTGTGGGTTTCCACTTGAGCTTGGCGGCCTTGCTTCTCACCTTGAGTTAACTTGTCCAACCTCCTACTGTCTCCACTGGGAATTTTACAAGTAAATCACATCCCAAGGTTCTCAAAATCCCGAATTCACTGAACTTTACTTAAAATGACCCCCCTCTGGAGAGGTAGTTCTGGAGTACAGTACGTTGGGTTTGTGGCACAAACTGAAGAGGTCAACCCCACTTGTCTTAAGTGACTAAAAACAACAATTATAATAAAAAAAAAAATCCTCAAATCTATTTTCCTTTCTCCACAGAACTGAGACCAATTGGAAATACAGAAAACTTAATAAATATATCGAAAAACTTGTAGGTTTATGTAGAAAGCCCAAAGTTACTTTAAAAACTTTGGATGCATTAAGAGAGTGCCAAGTTTCATAGTGCCTTGGCATTAGAATTTAGTCTATGGAAACTTAGGTATAGCAAAAAAAAAAAAAAAAAAAAAAAAAGTTGAAGCAATTTTTATCAAAAAAGTTATTGACTGTGATTTCCAGTAAAGGTAAAGATGTAGTACTTCCAAACCAAAATAATATTTTTTTTTGAGGTTATGTTTGTTGCATGTGTGGCATGAAATAAGTTAAGTTATACTTATTTTGAAAAAGTAAAAGACATTTTTGGAACATTCAGGCCAAAAGTTGCTAGTACATAATGCTCAGAATCCTATATTTTTTCTTGGTTCCACTGAAGGTCTCTATAGGATAAGTGATAATTATATAATAAGTACATACAGTGAAGGTCTTTTAAAATCAAGTTCCTACATATATTAGGTTATAAAATGAATATCATAGTTCAGTTACAACTTTTAAAAGTAAAATTTGCCTGCAGGGTGGAATTAGGCCTGATATCCTGTAACAAGTCTTTTAGTGGGATATCATGGGATACCTTGAATTTTAAAAACCAAGAAATATTTGAAACAAAACATTTTATGAACAAGATAGATATCCTTAATATTGATATTTTTATATTTGTGTGTCTGCCATGTGTGGACCCTTGGATGAATAGTCTACATATATAAGGATACTTCAAAAAGTTCATGGAACGATTTGTGTAATCTTTCAATTCTATTTTTTTGGTGAGCTTTTTGAAGTACCCTCATGTATTGAATAGGGGAAGTAAGCTGAATCTTGTTTTGAGTACAAATAATCATTTGCTACAATAGCTCAAATCTCTTTAAGGAAAAAGGGTCTGTTTCGATCATAAATCTCAGTGCACCCTGCTCAGACATTGCATATGGAAGGACAAAATAGAACAACAACTCCTAAGCACCTGGGAATAGCCTAGTGCCATCAGAATTTTCAGTGACTTTGTGCCCTGCAGTAACTTGAAGGCAGCTTTTCCTGTTTTATAGGATTCACAGAATTGGATCATAGAAGAAAACATGCCAGAAAAAGAGTAATAAATAGCCTCAGAAAAATAGTCATCGAGTAGTCGAGGCTGAGAAAGTTCTCCATGTTATTGAACCTTGTGTGGGAAATAAGGAAAAAAGATTCATATGTGGTTTTGTGAGTATTAAAAGTAAGTTCCACATATATCATGGACTAAAGTTTTGCTTAGTCTTGAGCTTTTAGAAGTTCATTGATGGTTTGCAGCAGAGGGTGGGTGGTGGTTGGCAATGGTTTTCTTGCCCTGTTATTCCAGTGCTTTCTTCCTTCAGATTGTTCTTTTGAAAACATGTCATGATTTTGTTCTATTTGAGATTTAAAGTATAGAAACTGGGATTTTCCAGTGGAATTAAACCCATAAAAACTGGCTACAATAGTCCATACTTTCAGATCATAAGCCTTCAGCGGGTTTACGATTACAGTTAAAGCCTTACGTGTATTAGATCATGGGAATCCCATTAGTGACTACACAGGGGTTTTGCAGATAGCATAGTTTCAAAGCATTTTTTTGTTTTTAACAGCTAAGTTTAGGATCAAAAATCTTAGATTGGATGAATGTAATCTTTTCTTTTTTTATTAATTAAAAAAAAAGTTGCTGGTATCCATAATGAAACAATAATTTGTGTGTGTGTGTGTGCTGGGTAGAGGTAAGTGTTTAGCGCTTTTGGTGGAACCAATGCATGAAAAGGTCAAATCAAGTGAAAGGCATGAACTGAAATTAAAGTTACCGAACTTTCTCATCTTTTTCTTTGCTGATTTAAGGTTTACATAGCTGTAACTGAAGTGAAATGTGTTAGGTAAAATAAGGAAAACTAAGATTTAAAATTTTCTCAAAATTAAAAAAAGTTACCAGCACACACAATAAGTACATGAAATCAGGTTGGAAAGGATAAGCATTTCAAAGACCTGTACATAATTAAGCAGTTCATGTTGTTTAGATTTAGTAATCCAAATGTCAATTTATGATAACAAATCTACTCAGGCAGAAGAGCATGTATTCAAGTAAAGTAAGAAATGGAAATATTTTTCATCAGGCAGATAATCACCTGACAGTAATTTACTATTAGACACTCTAACCTTGATGGAATACTTACCTTCAAAAAATTATTGTTTATTTTAACAGACTCATTCTTATTATAAATGCAGTAATTTTAGTCCTAGAAAGCTATCTCTAAATTTCTTTGTTTTCCAGTAAATCTCCTTAGTTACCTAAATTGAGAAAGGAAATCCTTTCCTTCTAAGCCAAACTAAATAAAAGTTTATCATTAAATTTAAAATAAAATTTAAGAATTAAGCTCAAAAAGAGCTTCCATTTGAAGAAAGTTTGTTATTCAGACCTTTGTTTAGGTGTGGAATATGTTTAGAATGAATGTAGTGTATAACATGTTTATATATCTTACTTTTATTTAAATCTGATAAGAGTAATCCCCATTCACAATGGAAATAGGTTGCCATTTAGAAATTGGTAACAATCTCTCATTAACATTAGAATGTTGACAGTGATTGAAGGCCAAAAAGGAGGTGCATTTTATGATACCATAAATACTATTTAACTTCAGGGTGCACTGTTTTCTTTTTCTGATTGTGATTCATGTTTCTTGGTGGAAAAGTCACTTGACGAAAGCTGGATTTTCAGGATGGAAGAGATCCCAGAAGTATCGGCAGTCATTTTTGAAGGCGCTGCCTTTTAGTCTTTTCTTTAGAAACAGGCAGTTTCTGAATTTGAGGGGTGTTTGGGAAAAATTGGTAACTTGCTTCACAAAAACAAGGATATAACTACTCTAAGAGTTTTCATATAAGGATACTGATAAACGAAGCTCTGGTGCCAATGACTGGTACGTTTATACATTTGCACGGGCACTTTTGGGGGGAGGTGAGTGTAGATATTTGGACATTTTACAACCTGTGACCAGTATGTGACTTATTATTCTACCAAGATTTGTCGTCTAACTCCTTTCCCCTTCTCCGGCAGAATAGTCCGTTGAATCTCTCTGTGACCTTCAGCGGCTGTTTCTGTAGTGCTGAGGGTTGAGTCACAGAGCTGGAAGGGGTCACGGAGATCATAGACCAATCTCCCCGGATAGAAGATCCTTTTTGCAAAATTTCAGGGTCACATCAGTGGTTCAGCATAGTTTCAGTCCACTCTCTGTGCCACTGTCCTTCCTGTTAGGGTACTCAGAAATCAGGAAGGCCTTTCCAACTTGGTTCCACACCCAGGATAAACCCGTGCAGTCACACCCAGGGGACAGTCAAGCAGCCAATTAAAAGGGGCATTTGGGGAAGGGTGTTTATGTTAAGAGGTGGCATTGAGAACATTTTATCTTTTGGTGGGTCCAAGAGAAACAAGTTTTTGGGGGTGGTGTCCTTGGGTGCATTTTTATCCCAAAGATTGGGTGTCATCCTAGTGAAAAATTAAATGAAATATGGACGTGTATAAAGACTTCTTTCGGAGTTAGGGGGTTACTACTTCTGCTTTGTGGAGTTGACTGTGGTGATTCTCCAAATCTCAGCTCGGTCTTTGTTCTTTTAGTCGGAGACCAAAACCCATAGGATCTTGGGAAACAGAGAGCTGGTCACTGGAATGTTAATGGAGAAATGTAAACTAGGGTCTGGGAAAATGATCATTATCGACAAGCATGCGTATTTTTGCCAGAGCCACATAGGCTTTTATTAGCAATTACTCATAACCAACTGCTTCTCCTGTTCCCATTCTAAGGGTAAATAAATCAAAGGATGCATGGGATCTCGGACTCATCCATGGTCAGAATATATTTGGAGCTGAGTCTTTCTGGAATCCTTTGCTTTTATCTCATTACTCCTTAAGTTCTATAACTCCACTGTTCAGTAGAGACGCCAAGGGGTTTCTTAGGAGTCACTTTTAACTCATGAGTGGGTCATTAGTAGTTCTTCTCTGGCTCTGATTTTCTTAATAGCAAATGGAAAAATAATTAGAAATTTTGCTCACAAGTTGAAATGCCTCTCCAAATGTCTGTAATCTTCAGTATCATTTAATTCAATAATTTAATTCAAAAAATATTTATATTTGCTTGATAATGACACTGTCATGGAGTCCATTATTTTTAAGCGTATTCTAAATCTTGAGTATCAGTTGAAGTGTTTCAAAAATCTCTCTAAACTGCTTGTAGAACCACTGCCAACCCCCTTTTTGTTGTTCTCTAGAGTGTGTGATGGGCAGTTTGGAATTGGGAAAGGGGAACATTGTGACAATTTAATGCTTTTGCTTACCATGTGGAGTTTTCTCTTTGAACTCCACCTAAAGGGTGTTATCACCAGCTGAGTTGTCAAATTAACCTTGTTAAGTACAACTCAAATGAAACCGTGTTAACTCTTTTATGAGGCCAATTTCCCACAGATATACTAGCATTCTTGCTTGTTGTACTTCTGGATTGAAGACCGCGTTTGTGATATGAGCATGGACAGGATAAAGTTGTTAGTTCTAGCATACCCTAGGAATAAGTGACCAGAGGGTTAAGTTTAACATTTCTCAGGAATCTATATGAAAAGCAGTAAGGATGCAAAAGGTTGTTTAAATTATAAAGAGAGATCAAAAGAAAAATAAAAGGGGGGGGGGGCATAGGGAAAAAGAGAAAGCATTGGCCTTGTAGCACAGTGTCGCTCAGAATGGGGGCACAGGCACAGAAAGGTGGCTTCTAGAATTCTCTGTCAGTCCATGCATAGGAAATGGCTAAAGTTGATAATACTTTTTTTTTTCCTTTTTGTCTTTACTGACCGGCAACGGGATTGCAACCCTCGGTGTTGTGCCCGCACCGCGCTCAACCAGTGAGTAGGAACTGGTCTCCACATGGGATCCGAACCCTCGGTGGGAGCGGCGGCGCACTCTCCAGTGCGCCACCGGGCCGGCCCTAAAGTTGATAATACTTAGACACATGCTGGGGCCCCTTGAACGGGTGAGACTCAGAGCCTGCCCAGCATGTAGCATTCACTGTGGAGCAATAAATGTTAAGCATTCGGAGGTGTTGTTTGCACTTTGTTTTGAGGTCAGGCAGGAGGAGGAACAGAGATGAAAAGCTAGGTCGGTCAGGTGGTCTGAGGCACCCTCGTTTGTATTAAGCTTGTGAACTTTTGTGGGTGTTGTGGAGCCTGCCCTGCTTCAGAATGGAGTTGATGGATGCAAAGTTTGTGGGTCCTGTGGCTAACTCACTGGCACTTCTTACCTGGAGCGTGCTTCTAACAGGGGCTGCAGGGATCTGGATGGGCGTGTAGATTCCAGCCTCCTTTTGTATCCTCTTTGGGAGTACAGTCTTACACTCCAGTCTTGTGGAGTTAGTGTTTCTAGCGTGGCTTAAGAAGAGATGGTCTCACAGCTGGATTAGCTGCCGTCTCCCCAAGAACGTGCTAAAGTCCGCAAGTGCCCGCAGAACGGTCATGAACCACAGCACTGCAGGCGACACTCTTCTCTTGGACGCAGCACAACAAAGAGAAAAAGAGAAGGATGGAAGGTTTTACGTGAAGACTCCACTGGGCCTGCCTCGTTGGTGTCTGCCTCCGTTTTATCTGCTGGAGAAGTTAGAATGGTGGTTTCTCCCTCCACTACATCGATGACAGAATTAAAATTAGCATTAAAATTTATTAACAATTGGGTTCAGATCAGGACCTTGTACAAACTTGGTGGCATTAACAAAATAAGTACTTTCCAGGAAGAGAGGTGTTCTGTTGTTTGTTTGTTTTTGAACCAGAAAACCTTTGCAAACCCTCAGGATTTAATTTATTTTTATTGCCTTATAATAACAGAAAAAGAAAAGTCTTGTTAAATGCTCTAAGTAAAAACACAGTTAATTTTCCATTACAGTGTCTAATTACTCATCATCTCCAGGACATTTTTATATGGCAGTTTAACTTCTTGAAAGTGGAAACTTGGCACACATTTAAGGAAGAAAGCCGTGCACCCAGATAGATATCAGAAGATGGTCTAATTATATTTGGGCTAGAGTCGAATCTTACGTATGATTGCTGTGAAGTAGAGAAGGGGAGAGAGAGCCTCTGTCTGTAGTCAGGGGGAGTCTC